AAGACCAAGCTAACAACAAACAGCCCTTTCTCCAGCTGAGAGTATCACTTCTCTGCACCTTTAAAGCTGCTGGAATAAAATCCAATAGGTCTAGTGGGACCTTGCAACCCCTTCTGCCAGAAGTGTATATATAATCCTGATTGAGCAAATTCCTATTCTATATGAACTGGGTTGGAAGGATGGATGTGACCTAAGGCCTGGCAGGTGGTAGCCTCAACTACTGGCAGCTGCAAGGTCTCCTCTTGGATTGGGGTCCATTCCCAGAAAGCTCCCTTCTGCAATAAATCATATAGCCATACAATAACAGAGAAATCAGGAATGTGTTTTCTCTGGAAAACCAAGGGGCCAATAGTACACTGTAATTCCTTTTCACTCTCCGGCATCTTGAGTTGGTCTAAAGCCAAGAGGGTATTGTGGAATTGCAGGCCATGCTACCCTTCCACCAGATGCCCAAAAATTTTACCTCAGCAGCTGGGGACTGATTTTTATCTGGAGGAATCGTCAACCCCAGTTCCTCTAATCACTTGATTATTTTGTCATGCATTATTGTGTCAACTGACAACCTCCTATACAGGTATCATTGGTGTATCAATAAAGCTTAACCTCATCTTCCAGGGGAATCTGTTTAAGCTCTTGTGCCAGTGCATGATGAGGCAGAGCTGAGGAGTGCTTGAACCACTGAAGGAGGTGGGCAAAGGTATGCTGCTCCCAAAGGTAAAGGGCAAGGCTTGACAGAGGTCAGGTGGGAAGGAGGAAGTGGTGGTGCCCCACAACATCCACACTTTGTACTCCAACTGTAGACAGATACTGTTCCTTCTAATGCTGCCCGGATTCTGCCTCCTTGAGACATAATCTGTATTTTTCCTTTTAGTCATATACCTACAGGTTTCAATGATTCTGGAAGACCCCTAATTAAAGGAGTCATCCTCTTGGATCAATGGGCATCATCATGAGTGATCCCTGGTGCAGCTGAAGCTTTCCATCATACATCATTTGGAGACAAGGAGCCTTTTGAACAATATCTACTAATTGGATGACTGTCCCAGAATTGGCAAGAGGATCTCTCTTTCTAGTCAGTTGAGACCACATGCCCAATAGGCAGTCCTCTGCATCAAAGACCATGGTGCCCAACTGTAGTTGGGCAGTAGTTAAACAGTAGTTAAAAATACTCCTAGCCACCACTACCCTTAAGCTTCTTCTTCAGTGGACAGTATCTTGTCTCCACCAGTAAGGCTAACCCTCCACATATACTCCATCTCCAATTCCTTAGGGGAACAGTCAAAATCTTTTTTCAGTTTTGCTACTTCAGTAGAAAAAAAAAAAAGTAATCTTCTAAATACTCATCTGAGGATTTAATTAGTCCCACTTTTGAAAATATTTGGTTCTTATCAAAAGATGCAATTGGGTTGCCAAGGTTTCTAGTTTATGTAGCCTTGCCTTTATTTCATCCAATCTTTCCATAAGACAGATTTTTTCCTTTAGGAGGGCTTTTAAGTGCTAGTGCTATTATCGTCCTTGCAAACAAGCTGTTCCTTCAGGGCCTCCTGTAAGAGTACTTCACCATGTCTTTCATTCTCTAATTGCCCTTCAACTTCCAGTACCCAATTCTGCAAAGCTTTTACCAATTTTTGCAATTTTCTGTTCCCTGACAGAAGTTCCTCTGTCTGTTCCATAGCAACTGTCTTGTTTGGCTTTCTGCTGTAAGCTATAATTCTCTGAACTCTGCGGTTGCAAGCAGAGCAGTACCCAGAAGTGCACATACAAACAACTTTCCTTTTCCAGCTCAGGAACAGGCATCTTTTTGCAAAGCACTAATGCAGTCAGAAGCACTTTGCAAATTATGCCAATTCTGGAGTGCCCAATATACCCCTGATAACATGCATATGGAACCACGCTTTCCTAAGAGATCAAACAACGTATTTCTGTTTTCCATAGTGGCTTCACTACCATTCATCTCACAAAATGCAGTGTGATCTTTTGGGAGAGGCTCATGTATCTGACAGATTCAAATACTCAGATCACTCCTCACATCCCCAAGAGGTGCACACACAAAAAATTTAAACAACACACCTAAGTTGTAATGCACTTAAGTCACAAAATGCAGTGATTGTCCAAGAGAGGGACACACATATCCAACAAATGCAAATACTCAAGATTACTTTTCAAATCCCCAAAAGATACACATAAAAAGTTTGAACAATACACTTAAGTCACAAAATGCGGAGTGGTTTTCCTGGAGAAGTACATACATATCAATCAAATGCAAATACTCAAAATTACTCCTTACATCCCCAAGAATTACATCAGCCACCTGTGGAGGGACAACACTCTCACTGTTAGATATCCTGCCTCAGCTATGCTGTTTAATAACTCTCTTGCTGTGATTATCAGAGCAAGAGGGGAGATTCTTTGATATATCCGGAGTGAGACTGAGACACAATCAAGATCAAATGTTTCCTAACCAGTTCATTATCAGTTAAGGAGATGGGGAAGGGAAAGCCCAGCAGTTATCACAAATTAGAACAATGGGGAAGAGAAGGCAGGTAAACAGGAAAGATAGGAAAAGAGCAAGAATTACATAAAGAATTACATACTAAAGATACCAGAGCTACTGTTTCTGAGATGTTTATTGAGACACTTCTTTTGTAATGCATTGTCTTCTGCAATATTTTTATGTATATTCTGTACACAATATAATATCTGGATTTCATTTTTCTGAAGTTGATGCACTTCACCTTTAGAAAGGCATGTTCACTAGTCAAACTGAAAGCATTACAAAAAATATTAGGAACACTAATGGTAGTGTAAAGTTTTAACAACCATTTCAAAAGTACTTTTAATTCATACTTCTACACATAAAGAATTAACAAATGATCAGTGCATTTTTAAGATATACCTCACATTCAATGCATTGTCCATATTGAATGGACCTCATAAATCATAAAAATGTCAGTCAAGCTAACAGTATGGATATACATTTTAATATTTTAATTTGCAAAGGAACAAATAATAAGCATAGCAGATGCTAGCCAATATGAATAGAGTCACTCTGATTATCTGTGCATTAATGAGTTGCATAAAAACACAAAGAATGGGAAATAAGGAAGAAGCGATACGTGGTACTTGGATAACATTGCATTTATACTTACTACAAGCTTGAGTCATATGCAAACCTGGGAAAAGATTCCAGGTTAAAAAAAAAAAAACAACAAAACATGGCTGCAAAGCAGACAGGACTGAAAAATAAAAGCCTGGAGAAGAGAAGGCTGCAGGGTGACCTCATTGCAAACTTTCAATACCTAAAGGGAGCCTACAGAGGGGAGGGGAATCAACTCTTCAAAAGGGTTGATAACTGCAGGACAAGGGGAAATGGTTTTAAGGGATGGAACATTTGGTTGGATGTGAGAGGGAAATCCTTTACAGACAGAGTGGTGAGGTGCTGGAACAGGCTGCCCAGAGAGGTTGTGGATGCCCCGTCCCTGGAGGTGTTCAAGGCCAGGTTGGATGGGGCCTTGGGCAGCCTGGTCTAGTGTTAAGTGGGGAGGTTGGTGGCCCTGCATGTGGCAGGGGGTTGAAGATTCACGATCCTTGAGGTCATTTCCAACCCTGGCCATTCTGTGATTCTTTGACTGTTTCTAACTCAGTGCAGCTCAGTGCCATTTATAAATACCATTTGCAATGTGAAAAGTTTTCCTGACATTGGAAACATAAAAAGCAATCTTCTCTTGCCAATGTTGACACTCATAGACTACTCCTGCAAGTCAGCATGACCTGTAAAACTCAAATTCATTGTGAGTGAAGGAAATAACACACACAACTACAAGGGATGCTCCAAAAGTAATGCCTCTTATGTCATTATTCAGGCCCATGACATCAGTGGCAGATGATTGTAGTATGACAGTAGAGGCTGAGGCTTCCCACCCATATTCCACCCTACTTTGTTTCCGTGCAACAGATGGCAGCACAGAGGCAGTCTAACAAAATGGCATCTGACATAGAAGTGGTTATCAAACAGAAGAATATCAATGAATTCTTCCATGCAGAAAAAAAATCACCCACTGACATTCACTGATGCTTTTTGAACATTTACAGAGACCAACCAGAGGACGTGAGCACAGTGAAGTGGTGGGAAGTACATTACAGAAGCAGCAACAGCTGGTGCATTTTTCTATAAATAGAACACAAATTCATAAAATCACTGAAGTTGAAAAAGGTCTCAAAGTTATCTCAAAGATAACTGTCCACCTACCACCAGTACTGCCCACTAAACCATATTCCTAGCACAACATCTACATGTTTCAACTCTTGTTCATCACTGGCAAAAATGCATAGCTAATGGTGGTGACAATGCTGTAAAACAGCACTTTGTAGCTGACAATTTGCTCTGCCAAATAGTATTATTGTGCTCTTTGCTGTCACTTCCATTGAAATAACAAGGAGGCATTACTTTTGACTTACATAACACAAAAATCTTCAGATGAATTATGAAATACCATTTATTAAGGTACTAGTTTTACCTTCCATGCTTCCAAGCATTAGAAGAAACCAGTGAACAGAGCAACTTGTTAATCACCTTGAAAGCTTTAATATATCACATGTCAAGTTCTTTCAGGAAGTTACACTTAGCAACAGTCTTACAAGAAGGGCATAGATTCAAGCTGCATAAAAAGCTTTTAACAAGAAAAGCAAATAAGGTCAGTAGCAACGAAAGACTAAAGCTTATTGCTGATTGCCCACTGCTTCTGACTGCGTTTTCACCGCTCCCCTGTTTACTGCAGGCAAGTTTACTCAAAAAGCTGGAGCGGTAACTTTGCCTTCCAGACTTCCAGAAGCGCTCTGCGCCAACCGGCCCGGCAGCAGGCTGTAGGGCAAAGCCGGCGGCCCCACGGAGCGCGGTTCGGACCCTGGCGGGCACCGCGCTACTCCCGCAGTCTACGGGTACCGGTCTGAGGGCTGGAGGCGAAAGAAGGCCGGCACACGGGAGACAGACAATTACTCACGATCGCTATCAATACCACCCCTCGCCGTCCCGGGAGCTCGACTGCCCGCTTCTGCAGCTTTACCCAGCACGCTCTCCACCGAGCCCACGCTGTCCTCCAGCTCAGCTGCGGCGCATATGGGTGACGTTATTGACATCACCCCGCCCTCAGGTCCCACCCAAATGCGCGGCCCAATGGTAATCGCCCCGCCCCTCGCGCTTGGCCCCGCCCATGCCCCCTCAAGGAGTCCTGGAGGGGCGTGGTGTTCGTTGTAGGGAGCGGTTTCTCTTATGTCCGAGGACCCAGGGTTCTGCTGACAGGTTTAGTCCAGCTGCATCCTTCAGACTCGTACACATTAGCAGAGGAGTGGCTGCAGCGTGGTGTTCAACATGTGTGGCCACACAGCAGTGACTCCACGTTGCTATCCTGTTATGAAACCAAGTAGTCAAACAAAAGGATCCCCAGAATTCTTCATTTTGCAAGCCCATTAAAAATAAAAAACCTGTATTTGTCATTAGGAGATCATTTGTCTTTGGAATTCTAATCCTTTGCTTTAATTCTAAATGTCTAAATAACTCTGATGCATCAATATTTTTGCACTCACATGATGCAATATAGTGCTGTTAACATGCTATACTGTTTGCCACACCACCAAGTGTTGGGTTCCAACTGTGTGTGGATACAGTTAGTGAATTTCTCTACGTCTTTTAGGTGTCCCTGTGCTTTCTTCATTTCAATCCTTTTAAAACCTGATCAGTCTTCATATTTTGTCAACATCATTTAGAAGATAATACCATCTCTTTCATGAAAGCTTCTAAGGCCTAGTTCCCTACTGATACACTTTACGTAGCTTCATTTTTCTCAACAGAGATGTGCCAGAATTGTGTCCCTCTCTGTGATATTTCAGAAGCTTTGCTCCGAGTGTAGGCTTACAATTTTAATCACAGCCACTCCGAGAGCAACTTCCTACAATGCATGATACAAATAAAAACAATATGCTTATTATCAGCAGACCAGACCTCATCATACGAATTTAAGGTTGAATTTGCTTTCTCAAAGAATAAGCAATAAAGAAAAAGAATAGAAACTTCCAGACAGCTGATGACAGACTGCAGCCTCAGAACTGCCTGGTTACTGGTACTGCTCTTTGCAGTCATGCTAGGATGACAAGATGCAAAAGTGTACTTTTTTGCACATTCAGATAGAGCACTATCATTACTGTTCAAGATAGCAAAAATCCCATTGGTGTCAGCAACTTATTTATTTTCACATAACAAATTTATCTAGATACTTCATTCTGTCACTTGGTTTGGCAATGAATAGTTACGTTCCTGAAGCAATTTATCATTGATTAACTATTTTCACAGCTACCTTGCTTCTGTCTCAGAGCACACAGGGTGGTGGAGCTGTTAGCTGGCTGCTGAAGAAACCAAGGATGCTTAAAACAGGCAAATTATTTTGTCACTTCTGTCTGCAAAAGGAATAATCCCTAAAAATATCCAACAGTGCCAGCACTGAATCAAATGCATTTTAGGAGAGGTAGGCAGCCAACAGCTGTAAAAATCAAGAAATACTTACTTAATATTTGTGGTGCTTAATTTTGTGACTCTTTCTGCTTTGAGACCTACTTGGAGCAATCCCATGTGCTAGGTTGTTAGAAGGTAAGGGAACCTGTGAGAGCAAGTCAGCATTTGAACAACACTTCTTCCAAGCTCAGGATTGGTGTGGCCATATGAGTAAGAAATCAGGGAAGGGTGGCAGGAGATCTGTGTGGATGAGCAAGGAGCTTATAAACTTAAAGAAAAGAAGAAGGTCCATGAAATGTAGAAAAAGGATCTGCATGGGGAAGACTCTGGACTTTCAGGAACACGGCCAGAGACATAACAGCACATCAGTGTGGTTAAAAGCTATTAGTCCACTTTATTATTAAGCGCTATTCTATTTATACATGTTAACAGAGCATTCTGCAAAACACTCTTCATTCACACAGACGCTTAGCCAATCAGATCCATGAGACGTTCTTTGTTCTTCAAAGGTGTCCTTGGTTCTCGTACTGTTTGTCTTGCTCCACAGCTGCTGCTCTGAACAGTTTTTCTCATATTCCCACACATCTGAACACTTGGGAAGAATATAAGGAGGTTGTCTAAAGTACACCTGGAATGAATCTGGCAAAGGAGATAAAGGATAATAAGAAAGGCTTTTTTTAAGTATGCCAACAGTAAAAGGAAGACTAGAGAAAACGTGAGTCCCCTACTAAATGAGGGGGGCGTTCTTGTAATGGGGGATGCTGTGAAGGCAGATAATGAACACCTTCCTTGCGAAGACTTCACTGGAATCCTGGACACTGGGAGTAAGGGAGAGAGTCGGGAAAATGGAAGGCTTTGCTTTGATGAGGGAGGAGATAGTCTGAGAGCGTCCTGGCAACATCAATGTGCATTAGTCCATGGGCTCCATTAGGGTGCGTCCAAGGACCAAAGGAGCTGGCAGAGGTGATTGCCAAACTGCAGTCTATCATCTTTAAGTGACCTTGAAGAATGGGAGAGGTGCCTAAAGACTGCAGGATAGCCAGTGTCTGTTATTCAAAAAGGGCAAGAAGGAGGGTCAGGGAAACTACAGGGCAGTCCATCTCACCTGTGTCCCGGAAAGGTAGTGGAACAGCCTGTTCTAGATGCCATCTCCAAGCAACTGGAAGAGAAGAAGGTTATCAGGAGTGGAGTAGTCAGCATGGGTTCACCAGGGGAAGATCTGCACAACCAACCTGGTGGCATTCTATGATTTCAGTGCTGGATGTGTAGATGGCAGGAGAGCAGTGGATGTAGTCTGACTTGATTTCAGCAAGGCATTTGATTTTGTCTCCCACAACATCCTGATAATGAAGCTGAGCAAGTGTGGGATAGGTGAGTGAATGGTGAGGTGGGTGGAGAACTGGCTGAGAGACCAAGCTCAGAGGGCTGTGATCATCAGTGCGGAGTCCAGCTGGAGGCCTGCAGCTAGTGGTGTTCTGCATGGGTCAGTGCTGGGTCTGCTCTTGTTCAACATCTTCATCAATGACCCGACTGTGAGCACACAGTGTCCACCCTCAGCAAGTTTGCTGACGATACAAGGTTGGCAGGAAGGCTGACACCGCAGAAGGCTGTGCTGCCATTCAGCACGATCTGGACGGGCTGGAAAGCTGGGCAGAGGGGAACCAGGTGATGTTTAACAAGAGCAAGTGTAGAGTCTTGCACCTGGGGACAAATAATCGCATGCACCAGTACAGGCTGGGGGACCACCTGCTGGAGAGGAGATCTGTGCAGAAAGACCTGGAGGGCCTGGTGGACAGCAGGTTGGCCATGAGCCAGCAGTGTGCCCTGGTGGCCAAGAGGGCCAATGGCATCCTGGCGGGCATTAAAAAGAGTGTGGCCAGCAGGTCGAGGGAGGTGATCCTCCCCCTCTGCACTGCCCTGTTGAGTCCTCACCTGGAGTACTGTGTCCAGAATGGGCTCCCCAGTACAAAAAAGACAGGGATCTCCTGGCAAGAGTCCAGTGGAGGGCCACAAACATGGTGAAGGGCCTGGAGCTCATCTCTTACGAGGAAAGGCTGAGAGACCTTGGTGTGTTCAGCCTTGAGAGAAGAAGACTGAGAGAGGATCTGATCAATGCCTATAAATGTCTAAGGTGTGGGAGGCAAAGGTACAAGGCCAGGCTCTTTTCAGTGGTGCATGATGATAGGACAAGAGGAAATGGTCACAAAGTGAAGCATAGGAAGAACTTCACAGTAAGCATGACAGAGCACTGGAACAAGCTGCCCAGAGAAACTGTGGATTCTCTTTCTCTGAAGATACTGAAGGTTGTGCCTATCTGTGCAACTTGGTCTAGGGAGACTGCTTGGGCAGGGATATTGGACTAAATTATTTCTAGAGGTCCCTTCCAGCCTCTACAATTCTGTGATTCTGTGATTATGTGATTTATAGATTCCCAGTCTGCAGATGCCCAGGCTTCTTGGTGATGCCAGCCTATGGAGTAGGGAAGAAGGAAGTGGAAACATCTCCTTAGCTTTTCTGGTATCAGAAAAATAATAAAATATTCATTGGAATAAGGCTTCAAATCTAATCTTCCAGAATAAATGCCTTAACCATAGCTTGGCAAAGACAGATTCTCCTTTTGTTTAGCTCCATGAACATGTATTTATGGCAAGTGGAAAAATTTTGAGAGTACCTCCCAGAACACCAAGTTGAATTCTCTGCTTCATTTCTAGGCATGCAGGAAATCTAGATTCCTTCCTAAACTGAGAAATTTGCAAATGGATTTCCATGTTCGAAAGCAGGTGTGATTATTCTTGAATTATAGTAAAAGGAATGCAAGCATCATCTTTTGTGCAGATGTTACATTCCCATTAGTCAAGGTACAATACTCAGGAAAACTGAGGAGGAAGTGTTGTGAGAATCCTAAGCAAAAGGATTTGTTTTAGTTCTAGGTGTATGTATTTGGAGCAATGCAGCACTTAAAATACATTGCTTTCAGGGTTGAAACTTAAGTGGATTCAGTTACTGTTACTAGCAGCTCAGCACTTGTAAGAAATAGCTATTGATACAATTTCTAAATTTAGCATTTATCTGTGGCCTTACTCTCACATCTCAGATTAGTATTGTGATCTTGCTTGCAGGAAACAAAAATTATTTGCTGAAAGTTTGGGACTCGTTCTAGTTAGAGAGATCAGCTCATTGAGAACCTTTTTAGCTAGTATTCACAAGCAAAGTTTAATGGAGTGAATCATCACCAAAGGGGGGGGGAAAAAAAGTCTATTCACTCTCTAATCTCCAAAAACAATGTAAACAAATAACATAAGTAAACATTTGTATAATTTAATATTTTCCTTCAGGCCTGTAAGCGTTAGTAGTATCAAGTGGCTGGTCTCTAGCAAGTTGAAAGAGAAGATTCAGGAGAACATGGGATGCCAGAAGGTTGGAATAAATGTAACCACACAAGAATTTCAAGAAGATACTATAATTTGAATGGCCACAAAGCTTCTGAAACTTAGCTGTGAGGAGGAGAGTGGCTGTGGGGAATTGCCATTGATGTTTTAATTTCTCCAGCTACCCATGTGTCAGAAAGAAATACAGTTGCAGTCCTGACGTTTGTGGGTTACCCTTCCAAAATGACTGTTACT